CTATCCTATCCTATCCTATCCTATCCTATCCTATCCTATCCTATCCTATCCTATCCTATCCTATCCCATCCTATCCTGTCCTACCCTAGTCCTGTCCCAGCACTGTCACTTCACTTGTCCTCCAAACTAACCCATATCCTATCCTGTCCTACCCTAGTCCTGTCCCAGCACTGTCACTTCACTTGTCCTCCAAACTAACCCATGAAATTCCTGCACACTGGAATGTGGTGCCTCATTTCCCTGCCATCTCCGTGCTCTGCCTCCCATCTCAGGTCCCTCCCGGAACAGATGGACACTCTGGAATCCTGTTGGTGGCAACAGGAGTCTGAGGGCTACACTCCATGGCACCAACCGGTGCCACCAATGCCACATCGTGCCAGATCCTCGTTTTGGGGATGTTAATGAGCTCCAGCGATTCCTCACAATGATGGCCCCGAGGAGATGAGCTGGACACGACTGCAGGTCCACAGGATGAGGCACATTCCCTCTAATCCCCACTTCCCTGCCTCCCTGGCACGGTGGAGGAGGGTTGTGAGGCAGCAGGACGATGAATCACCTTTGGGAAGCTCCGACAAGGAAGAGCTGAACGTCCTTGGGGGCTTGAGGATGAGAAGTGCCAGGACAGAACGTGGCCGTGTCCCGTTGGGAGCCCATCCAAGGACCTTGGCTCTGTGGGAAGTGATGGAGAGAAAGTTCTGGATCTGCTGGAAGACCCAAAGGCAGCAGCCATGGACAGGCCAAAGAAGCACTGCAGCTCCAAGGTGGGTGTTTCTCCCAGACCCATGGATGCACTCGTGTCGCTGCACTCCCGTTGGGAATTCCGGGCACACTCAGTGCCAGGAAGGTGAAGGGAAGGGGCAGCAGGCCTGGCTGGTCAGGTGGCACCTGCAGCTCCATCCTCTTCCACAGAGCACCTGGTCCTGGCCATGCCCTATGGAAGTGTGTCCCTGGCTCCCGGCCCCTTCGGCAGCGCTGCTCTCCAGCCTGGGATCAGGCAGCTGGACAGTCCCAGATCCAGAGTTAACTCCTCAGGGACCATCAGACAAACCACTGGCTCACTTTTTGGGGTGCTGCTATCCCAGCCCTCAGCTTTTCCAGGCTTCACGAGCCCTACGGAATCATCCTTCTCCTCCAGGCAACGAGTCCACGCAAGGGAGCTCAGCGAGACAACGGAGCTCTTCCTCCACTTCCCATTCCTGGTGTCTTCTCCTGGCCCTCGGAAAGGTGGCAGCCACGAGGGAGTGGCATTGCTGGTGCTCCAGGTTCTTCCATGAGCTGGGATGTGGCAGCTCCTTCAGTCGGTCTCCGAACGCACGAATCCCAATTCTGGCAGCTCCCGAGCTTGGAGGCAGTGGATCATTCCTGGGATTGCTCCTTCGGTGCAGCCAGGAAAAGGAGCCTATGGAAAGGCAGCAGAATCACAAAAAAGGGAGCTCAGGTCTCGCAGGAAGCGGATCACAAGCAGAGAAACTCCGGCTGATGGAGAGGGAAGTTCTGTCCAAAGGAAAAGGGATCAGGCGCTTGCAGGACGGATAATTGGGCCTTCTGGGAATGCTGTTACTGGAGGTGTTGAGGAGCCGATCTCTCCAGTGAGTCATTAAGGGATGAAGAGTCTTCCTTTGAACTCCACATCTCAGTCTGAGCGTCTCCAAGAGTTGCAGAGGCGAGGGCAGGCTCAGCTCCGGGGGCACCATGCTCCAAGTGCTCCCAAGGGAAACGCTTCCCTGTTCCTCGGGAAGGCGTCCGTGCTCCTGCTCCAGTGGTCCAGGATGGCCCCCAAATCCTCAGACCCGCCTGGAGGACTCACCTCCTGGGTGACAACTCTTGCTAAGGAGGAGTGAGGCACGAGATGGCTCCCGTGATTCCCAGTGTGCTCCCAAAGGCTCCCACGTGGAGCTCGGTGCCACCTGTGACACACCCGGGCTGGGCTCGGGGATGAGAATTCCCAAAGACTCTGATGTGGATCTTGGCATGAACTGGGGCCCAGGGGTTCCCAAAAGCTCCAGTGTGGAACTCAGTGCTGTGACCACGTCCAAGCTGAGCTTGGAGCCAGGAATTCCCTTCTCCACCATCCAGTGGGTCCGTGAGTTCCAGCGGTGGAGGATCCACCCAGACCTCAACATCACTGCCAGCAAAGACGTGCAGAGCCCCAGGTCATTCCAGGTCATTCCCATTCCAGACATTCCAGGACCACTGGGCCCCTTCCAATCCAAGCCACTCTGTGATTCCTTCCTTTTTGCTGGAGCTGTCCCGTGGCAGAGCCCTCCCTGAGAGTTATGGAATGAGGGCTTGAGCTGACAGAGCTTCTTCCAGCCTTCCCAGGGACCTTCCTATGGAACTTCTTCCAACCTCCCTATGGACCTTCCTATGGACCTTCTTCCAACCTTCCTATGGACCTTCCTCCAACCTTCCTATGGACCTTCCTACAGACCTTCCTTGCTCACCGTGCCATCCCACAGACTCCAGCGGGATCCAGGGATCAGAACAGCCTGTCCCTCCTTCTCCTGCACTCAGAAAGCTCCTAGTCCTAGCAATGCCCAGAAAATAAGGATGTGGGACTTTTCCCACGTCCTTGGATGAGCTGCAGGGACACCTCTGGGCCGGACACGGAGGGGACAGTTGAGCTGTGTCATCACCTTCCCTCAGACCCAGCTTTGGGAACGTCACCAACAGCCCAAACCTGAGCCTGGGGAGCCGGGGGTGCCCTGGATCTGCTCTGGCACTGACTGTCCTTAGTGCTGCTCCCTAAAATATCCTGGGTTTGGAGCAGCCCGTCCTGACAGGGATTAAACACAAACCCCTGGGGTAAGGACGAGTTTAAAGAGGCTCAGCTGAGCAGGGACCAGTGAGAGCCAGCGGGGATCCTACAGGCAGGGATCTGTTGATCCTGCTGGATCAAGACAGCAGGTAAGCCTGACCCTAACCTTAACCTTAACCCTAAACCTAACCCTTGTCTTTGATCCTAAACTTAACCATAAACCTTATCCCAACCCTAACCCAAGTCTAAACCTAATCTTAATCCTAACCGTGAATTTGACTCTGATCCTGACCCTAACCCTAAACCTGACCCTAAGGTTAACCCTAATCCTGATGCTAAACCTGACTCTGATCTTAACCCTGATCCTGACTCTGATCCTAAACGTAAACCTGACCATAAATTTAACTCCAATTCTAATCCTAACCCTGACTCTGATCCTAACCTTAAACCTGACCCTAAACTTAACCTTAACCCTGATCTTAACCCTGACCCTCATAGTGACCCAAACTGTAAACCTGACCTTTGACTCTAAACTTAACCCTAAACCCGATCCTAACCCCAACCCTGATTCTGATCCTGATCCTAACCCTAAACCTGACCCTAACCTTAAGCCTGGCCCTAAACTTAACTGCAGGCCAGATCTTAACTCTGACCCTGATCCTGACCCCAGTCCTAACCCTAACCCTGCTCCTGACCCTGCTCCTGCCTCTGGCTCATGCTGGGAGCTGGGCAGAGATACTGGGAACTGGGCAGGGATACTGGGAGCTGGGCAGGGATACCGGGCATGGATGGAACAGCATCCAAAGGTTTCCCACACACAGTGGCAGCATCAGGGACGG